TTTTGAAACATTTTAAGAATTTTCTATTGATTGGCGTGATCATCAAATAATGGACGGAATGTAAAAAAAAAAAAAAAAAAGATAAGTATAGCTAAACGCAATAGAGCAAACATAAAAGTGAAATAAACAGTGTTTTATGGTTTTCAGGCTGGTCAAATCATATTTAGCACTGCAAAAACTTTAATGCTTAAATAGTTCCTAAAAATGTTTATAAAAGTTACTGAAAGTGTCTGAATGTTTTAAACTCTCTTGGGGCTTAAAAATGTGCAGTGATAAATTGTTGCTCCACAATGGTTAAACTCAACAAATCTCATGTATTTTGAACTGTGTGAATATATAATCCCAATCTTATCTATATATATATAAATATATACCCTGCTAACCCTGTGATGAGACTGAAGGTCTGCTTAAGTGATTTGTGTGTGCCGAACGAATACCTTAATACTACCTTAATACGGTGTTTAAATTATATTTATTATAATGATTAAAGTGCTAAAATCATAAATGTGTTATATATGTATTGTGATTAATCTATGAATTAGATGATTAATCTATTGCGAAAATTAAAAGAATTACATAAAAATAAACATTTTTGGTAACACTTTCAGGAAAACTTTCAGGAAACATATATTTGCTAATTTTACCTCAATAAACTAATAATTACTGCTTAGTAATCTAAAGTGCCACAGGTTGCATAAAAAAGAATATTTACCATGCATGGAACCTTTCCTTGCACATGCATGTTTTTTATTTTACTTAATTATTAATGTTGTTCAGTAATTAGTCATTTTAAAGTTTTATTTTTTACTTGTAAACCTAGAAAATGCCTGTCCTTTGAACTGAATAAATGCATCTCAAGAAGCAACCTGACTCTGCTGAACATGAAGTTATTATCGTCCATGACAAAAACTTTGGTTCGGTCTCAGAAACCCAATTCCCCCTCTGGTACTTTGCAAGGACGCAGAACAAATATCAGGCACTGACACATCAGATACCAAATCGTGCGCTAGAATCACTAAAAGAAGTGTCCAGAACTCCTGGCGTGCAGCAAGAGCCTAAAAACAACCTTCTTATTCATATTCAGATACTTCTCTTAAGGAGTTTGGTCATTGGGGATGTTTTTCAGCTGACACACAGACAGCTCATAAGACTTTCTCACTATTTGTAGGTTGACTTCACCAACTCCAACCACCCAAGTGTAAAATTCCAAATCAAGCTCAGATTAATTTTAGCTTCACAAGTCAGCTACTTCCAGCTGCGTAAATCCTCCCCGCATGCAGTGTGCAGAAGTAAGTCAGCTAGGAAAATAAAAGATGTTTAAAAAAAAAAAAAAAAAGTCTAAGAGTATTACGTCACATAAAAAAGATAAACAAGTGCAATAAAAGAAATTGTTTTGAAGTAACCTCAAATCAACAGGTGCGACTGCATGCAAAGTAGAGAGCCATGCAAAACTCTGTTTTCCATAAAGCCATAACCAATAATCAAACTAGATCTCTTACTACCTGCAAACTGGAACTTTAACCTTTTACTACACACTGCACAATACAGCCTGCTCACTGGAGCTAATATGAGCTGATTAACAATAATTAACCAAAAATAAATAAATAAGTTCACATAAATATATTTGACACTTTTTTAAATTAATAGAAATGTGTTGATGGAAATACAATAACAAATAGAAAATCCTTACTCAATGCACATTTTATAAGCCTATATAAAATGCAACAACAAACTGAATAAAATCATCAAGATGTGCTAAAACGAAACGCACACACACAAACACACACACACACACAAAGAGATTAGAGTAAAAGAGTTGGTGTGTTACCTACCCTCAGTAGGACTCAGAGCTGCTGGGATCTTCTGTTCAGCAACCCTACGTTTGAAATCAGAGAAGAGCCCCCCTCTCTCGACCCCCGCCCGCCCCTCACCGGGACTCTTGCCCCTCTTAAGCCCTCCCTTCCTCGCCTACTGTCCGGGCTCAGCTGAGACAGGGATACGGGCTGCTCTTCATGAGGTCAGCATTTCATTATTTTGGCTTTGAGAGATTAGTGACTACAGTATGAAACGTAGAGAGAGAGACGGGTACAGCTGCCAAGAGAGTCCATATTCACCGGCTTCAGTAACTCAGGTTTACTTACTAAATAAATGTACGTCTGCTAGAGAAGAGTGACCTCTAGGGTAAAAAAGGGGAACTGCAAGTTAACAAACTGAATATAAGGATTTGCTGTCCCTTCAGAACTAATGTTTTGTGTAATTTAGTACAGTGTTCCTGGAGGCAGACCAACAGTACATATTTTGGATGGCTCCCTTATCTGACCTATTCATTTCATGTTTTGGAGTATCTTCTAATATTCTGCTGAGTTGACTCAGGTGTGTTTGATTAGGAGGAGGTTAAAAATGTGTACTGTTGGTATGCCTTCAGGAACAGGGTTGGGAAACACTGACTTAGTATATACATTAGCCATGTCGAATACTCAGTACTCTTCAAGATTATATTGATGAATTAATTTATTATTGTTGTTATTATGAATAATAACAACTTTCTAACAATCTGACAACTATTTTTAACATTGTTGTAATAAATGCATATTATTATTTAAGCAAATACATTAAACGAGCACATGAGAAATAAATAAAGCAAAAAAGAAAAAATACATTAAAAAATACACAAAAAAACATTCAATAGCAAAGTGTATCGCATTTACAAATACTGAGCACTAAGATTTGGCAGAAAAAACGTTTTTTTTATGGATGTGTGATGGACTGAATGACAGAGATCAATACATAGACAGACAGGTAAAGTTTTTCTTAGTGGCTTTGGTGCATTTGTCACAACACTATTTGCATTTGCACAACAGTTAATGCATTTATTAAAACAATTAGTCATTTGTGGTAGCAGTTTCTCATTCCTTCCAACAAATCGCAAATGCTTTTGGACATGCATCAACTGCTTTCATACAACTCTGCTGTTTATAACATTATCATTTGCTTATGTCTTGTCAGTCAAAATTATCTTGTAAATGCAGAATAGTCATTCCATAGAAAAAAATGTTGAACTAGTTGTCAAAATCTGTCAAGCAAATTTTATAAAAATGTTTCAATCTTTTTTCCCTCTGAAAATGTCTTCAAAATTGAACAATTTGATTAATGATTTACAGACCTGTGCATGTTGTAGGTTCAGTTCCAATATGTACTGCAATATTGTTTACAGATGTGCACAGCTCCACCCAAAGACATTTATGTTTGTTGTACATAAATGTGTTTTTATTCTTTTGCACAAGGCTGTGAATAAATTAAAATTGTAAACAGCATTTGCACTGCAGTAATGTGAAACATACATATTCAGTGTCTTGTACTCAGACACCTCACTAAATGCAGTCATGTCAAACTTTACTGTAGTTTTCAAATGGCTGTGCAAATATTGTACAGCGCAGTCTAGAGCATTTTCAGGAAGTGTCACCACAATCTGACTTTTTTTTGCATTTAAAAACATTTACAGAGTAAACGGTCCAAATGAAAACGTGACAAAGCCATTTGAATATGTTCATAAACAATGGTGCCAGGACTTTTCATATTGATGACATTGACACTTTCATTGACAGCAATACTTGCTTTTGAGGAATGAGGCATGAGCTACCCATTCTGAGCAAGTGACACGCTTTTGCAGGTTATCAACTAGGTTTTTCAGTTTGTACTAAATGTTTTGAGAAATGCATTAACTGTTGTGCAAATGTATATAGTGTTGTGAGAAATGCACCAAAGCCACTGAGAAAACTGTAATTTGATCATCTGTTTAGATGGTAAGAGAGAATGACAGAGTGCTAGTTAGCTAGCAAAATAGAGATAGTTGTATCTATCTATCTCTATTTTGCTAGCTATAGATAGATAGATAGATAGATAGATAGATAGATAGATAGATAGATAGATAGATAGATAGATAGATAGATAGATAGATAGATAGATAGATAGATAGATAGATATTCTTCAGTGTTGTTCTACATGGCTTGCTTAATAATGATCTTCAGCTTAAGGCTCTTTGCAGTGGTGTCTGTTGGGCAGGTCAGGCCATGAGCAGCCACGTACTTCTTAGGTCTCTCAAATTATTCTAAAGGCCTGTACATTGGTGTAAAGAATATCAGTGTCCCAAGTTCTCCCAACCTGAATATGAGGACTTGCTGTCCCTTCAGAACTTCAATGTTTTGAGTAATTTAGTATACAGTATTTCCCAACCCTGTTCCTTGAGGCACACCCGCAGTACATATTTTGGATGTCTCCCTTATCTGACTCATTCATTTCATGTTTTGGAGTATCTTCTAATGTTATGCAGAGTTGACTGAGGTGTTTGATTAGGAGGAGGTTGAAAATGTGTACTGTTTGTGCTGTTGGTATGCCTTCAGGAACAGGGTTAGGAAACACTGATTTACTATATATTAGCCATGTCAAATACTCAGTTATCTTCAAAATTATATTGATGAACCCTTTATTTTTATTATTATTATAAAAAATAATAACTTATAAAGGCAATCTTACAACTATTTTGAAAGTTGTTTTTAATAAATGCATATTACATTTAATCAATTAAATTAAACATGCAAATGAGAAATAAATAAAGCAAAAAAGGAACAGTTTTAACATTAAAAAAATGTATTCAATAACAAAGCATATCATATTTACAAATACTGAGCACTGAGATTTGGCAGCAAGCAGTTTTTTTGGAGATGTGTGTAACTAAAGAACATGCATCATTTTAGTAAATAGACAAAAAAATGATAGAGAGAGAGAGAGAGAGATAGATAGATAGATAGATAGATAGATAGATAGATAGATAGATAGATGATAGATAGATAGATAGATAGATAGATAGATAGATAGATAGATAGATAGATAGATAGATAGATAGATAGATAGATAGATGATAGATAGATAGATAGATAGATAGATAGATAGATAGATAGATAGATAGATAGATAGATAGATAGATAGATAGATAGATAGATAGATAGATAGATAGATAGATAGATAGATAGATAGATAGATAGATAGATAGATAGATAGACAGACAGACAGATACTTCAGTGTTGTTCTAGATGGCTTGTTTAATAATGATCTTCTGCTTCAGGCTCTTTGCAGTGGTGTCTGCTGGAGTGGATGGGCCAGTGCAGGGCAGGCCATGAGCAGCCACATACTTCTTATAGGCCTCCCGAATTATCCTGAAGGCCTGTACATTAGCGTAAGGAATGTCAGTGATGGGGTCCCGGTAGAGCGCAGGCTTATGGGTAACAGGACAGACCTCCTGGACAGGTACTCGAGGAGCAGGCGACTGGGGAAAGACACGCTGGAAGGACTCATCATCACTGAATGTGATGTAGGTGCGAGAGCATTTGGTGTTTACAGCAGCTGTGTTTGTGAATGGGACACCGGGTGCTGCGGAAAGCGTTGATTCGGACTGGGAAAGAGCCTGTGGCAGGTGAGGATTCTGCTGGGCGTCCTGGTCCAAACTGAAATAGATATAAAGCAAAGCAAATTTACATTTACACCACATTGTTTTCAGCAAAAAACAAAACAAAAATGTTGTCTATGCATTTTGCCATTTATTTACACAAAACAGCCTTTTGGTATAGCCTAAAAAGGCAAACCTTTACATTTGGAGGGAAAAAAGCCATGCCATTATTGTTTCAGCATAAACAATGAAAAACATTCTTTTAGTGAACCTAAAAAAATGCAACCAAAACTTGCAAAAGAAAAAAAGATGTAAAGTTTTGTATTGCAATGTTGTTGTGTAACTGTACTGAATGATGTGTAATTTGTGCAGATAAAATAATCTATACGTAGATGAAACCTTTAAACTAACATATATTAACAATGTATATATATATAGTTACTCCATTGAAATTTGTTTTAGCAACAATAAGGATGTATATATTTATTTCTGTTTACACTCAAAACATTTTTTACTTGTTCAAACTCTGTGTCCAGTTTTTTGTTCCTAATTAATAAAGTTTATGTTTATTGCTGATCTGCATCTGGGTTCTGTCCACACACTTGACAAAAGTGAGCTGAGACAACATAATTCTTAAAATTTCCCTGGGAAAAATTTCTATTCTATTTTTTTATGTTCAATCCACATATTTTTTTGTTAAAAGTTAACTTAAATGATTTGTGTTGGGACAACATAAATGAATTGTGTGGAACCCTGCATTTTTTACAGTGTAGTTTACTTTTTAATTATTATACATTTCTGCAATCATAACAGTCAGTAAGTCTGAGTTTGGTGGAGGGGGGTTGTAAAATTATAAGGTTATATAAAATGTTTGAAGGCAAAAGAATTTGTACATTTTTATTTGTATTTCTAAAACATGTTTTTGTGATGTTTTATTTAAGCATCATTCAACATGTTAATTAAATAAAAATAATACTTAATGTAAATGTGCATATTCAGTATCTTTGAAAATTATTAAAATCATGTGCATGCATAATGTATATGTACAAAACAAAAGAAAAAAAGCTCAGCTAAATACAACTCAAAATTCACATTATGACTTCAGCACAAATGTCTTTTACACAGCATAAATTAATACAGCCCCTTTTAAATAAAAAAAGGAATATTTTATCCATTTCACAGTGAATGTGGACAATATATTTTGGTGCATTTGAACAAAAGTTATATTCATAAAAATAAAAGTTTGGTCACCTAACATCTTCAGGAATATAAAAATAATACATTTAAATTAAAAGAAAATTACAAACTACTAAAGTTCAACAAAATGTTCCATTTTATATCTTTCTCTTGATTTTTATTCATATTTTTTGCTAACATATTCATTTGGGTGTCCACATTTTTGAACCATGATCCTAAGTTATTTTGTTAGATTAGTTTTGGCGTTGGTACTGAATAGTCTAATGCACATAATATACAGTACACAAATGTATATTTGTACAGTATGCTATAAAAAATATTCTGTCCCACTTTATATTAAGTTTCCTTAACTACTATGTACTTACATCAAAAAATAAATACAATGTACTTACTGTGTTCATAATGTTTTTGAGAACACTTGTGGTGCTTTTGAGTTGGGGTAGAGGTTGGGTTATGGACAGGCTTGGTGGCATGGGTAGGTTTAAGGGTGGGTTAAGGTGTAAGGGATGGTCAACAGTGTATTTACAAATGTAATTACATAAGTTAATTACAAATGTAATCACATGTATTTAATCAACTACAAGCACACCATAAATACATGTATTTACACACTAAGTAGATTGTAACAAACTATTAATTCACGTGTAAGTACATATTAGTTAAGGCCACTTAATATGAAGTGGGACCAAACATTCATTTAAAAGAGAGATCTGTGAGAAGTGTTCTCATTTATGCTGAGCACTGTGTGTATGATCAGTTAATAGCCTTTATCTCGACATTTGTAATTGTCAGGTTGTACAAAGGTTAGATAAAAACATAAACACAAAACAGCCCACCTAAAAAAATGAAAGTCTAAAGTCTGCAATGCAACAGAAATCAAAAGTAAAAAGCAAAAGAAGCATGCATTTGAACATTCAGAAAGTGGCAAAGACCCAGATAAATACCCCTCTACATCCACATTTTCTTCTTTAAGGGTGACATCAGACACCAATGGCATGAGCACAGAGTGATAGCGGATAACAGAACCCACACACTGGCGCTTCATATGAACCTGCCGTTTCTTATCTGCCTCTAAGCGCTCATAGTTTTCTGCAAAGAAAAAGAAAAATCACAGCTGTCAGCTTTCAAGTTTTATAAACAAAACAAAAATACAAAAGCAACTTATTATAAAATCTATAGTGTTTCTAAACCATGCTATAGTAAATTACTTGAAAGAATCTGTTGTGGTTATTATCTGCTATATATTACATATCTGCTATTATATTATAACACACCAGTTTGTTAAACACCACAGTTTATATATATTTACTATAATGTAATATATGGGTGACATGGTGGCACAGTGGGGTGGGTAGCGCTGCTGCCTTACAGCAAGAAAGTTGCTGGTTTGAGCACTGGCTGGGTCAGCATTTCTGAAAGGAATTTGCATTTTCTCCCTGTGTTTACGTGGGTTTCCTCCCCAGTCATGCAATACAGGTAAATTGGGTGAGGTAAATTGTCCATAGTGTATGTGTGTATGTCCTGGTCCTCCAGGTGGAGGGTTGAGCACTGGGCTGCTAAAAATTTGATCTTACGAAACACCAACATGATGCGGCTAAATATGAACTTCGATATAAACGGCCCTAGGAAGGTAAGTATAATGTAATATATAGTACAATATAATATATATTCGTTCGAAAACACTATAGTATTTACCAATAATTGCAATAGTATTTTTAGAAATCATTAAAAAGAATAAAATAAAATAAAAACTATACAAATACATTTAAATATGTATTGACACAAATACAACAAAAACACTGTGGTATTTAATTTAAATTATTACAGCATTTAAAAACGATATCTATGGAAATCTGAAAATCTGCAGAGTTATTTATCCAAAAAGAAGTTATCAATTCCTCACCGAGCGATCGAAGGTTAATCTCGGCTGTGACCTTGGCTTCTGCCAAAAGTTCTGCCTGGGTCAAAGGTCGCTCATGTCTTGTGCCCTTCCTTCGACGTGGCGCGACCTGCCTCTCCTGCAGCCTCAGGTATGTCAGTCGTGTGTGTTCAGTTGTGGACTGGCGAACTGATTTCCTGTCTAAGACAGAAACATTTCACTGCAAAAAATGTGCATTCTTACTTGGAATTTTTGTGTTATTTCTAGTGTAAATATTTAAAAATTTCTTAATTAAGAAGTATTTATTAGACAAACACAAAATATTGTCTTGTTTTTAGAAATAATATGCCATAATTAAGTGTGTAAAGCAAAATAATCTGGCAACGGGGTAAGCAAAATAATCTTGTTTTCATTCTGACATAAGATTATTTCGCTTGTATTAAGTATTTTTCTCAATTCATTTATTTTGGCATATTATTACTGAAAACAAAACAGTATTTTTGCTTGTCTAAAAAATGCTTCTTGATTTTAAAAAATTAGATAATGGTACAAGAAACAAGTCAAAATAACTGTGAATAAGAAAAGCAACTTTTGCAGTGTTCTTGGTTGAATAAAGTTCATGCTACATTGATTTGGATGAGTTTGCAAACGTTTCCTATCCAAAGTTTATGATATGTTCACCACGTGAGTAAATAGTTGGCATTCCAGAAACACATGCAAACTTAACTCATTGACAGCTTGATTGAATTTATCTCACAAACTCATTTTATTGCACTAGAAAAGATCTAATTCACGTGAAGCAGCAAAATGACTTCAGGAACTGATGCTGTTTTGTTTTTTCAGTTTTATCAGTTTGGAGTAAAATCATAAAACACAATAATAACTTAATAGCCACAACTTCATAACAATCCAATCATAACATTCAATCATTTCCTGTTGGATAATGTTGATGATAGGCACTGTTTATTTTCTTTACAGAAACTACTTTTATGGCAGACACTTTAAAGGAAGGAAGGAGGGAAAATATGTAATAAAAATTATACAGTTTGTATAGTATTGCACTGCAGATTTACAATAATTAAAGTCAGAGTGCTTTTGTCTATATTAAACTGAAATTTGTTCATTTTCAAGCGCTTTTAAAATGTAAATTTAAAACATGAAGATTCATCAGTTTAACTGATATATTTTTACAAAACAGAGAACATAACTGAACTGAAATTTTCGAAACCAAACAAATATAGCATTGTGTTTTTCTCTGTTTGTGTTGAAGCATAATCCAAACTTAATGAATCAATCACTTAATGATTGTTTAGTATATACTGTTTCAGTTGATGGTTGAATAAAATTTCACTAGACATTAGAAGTCACTAAAAGTCAGTTATTAAAAGTTATAAAAAAATTATTAGAAGTCAGGTTTATTAGCCCCTCTGTATATTTTTCCCCAATTTCTGTTTAATTGGACAAAGATTTCAACACATTTCTAAACATAATAGTTTAGATTTATTTTCTCTTTGCCATAATAACCGTACATAGAATTTTACTAGATATTTTTAAGATACTAGTATTCAACTAAAAATGCAATTTAAAGGCTTAGGCAAGTTAGGGTAATTAGGCAAATCATTGTATAAGGATGGTTTGTTCTGTAGACAACCTGAAAAAAATATTTTTACATTTAAAACTGATTTTATTCTAGCTGAAATAAAACAAATAAGACTTTATTAAGAAGAAAAAATATTATAGGAAATACTGTGAAAGTTTCTTTTGCTCTGTTAAACATCATTAGAAAAATAATTGAAAAAGAAATTCATAAGAGGGCTAATCATTTGACTTCAACTGTATATGGCACAACTAAAATCCAATAACAAAATGTTTTTTAACTCTCTGACCTTCTGTAGGGATTTCTATTAAACAGAAGAGCAGATGAACACATTATAGAACACACCTTCACTTAATTATGTAACATCTGCTGTGTTCATGTGACGTCAGCTGTCAGCACATGCAAAGTGACATCCTCTCACACTTACTGATGTCATCCTGTAGTTCGGGTGGGTTGTATTTGTCAATCTTCGTCTTGTCCGTCCTCCTGGGAAGTTCAGCCAGTTTTCGTTGTTTAGGTTTCTGACGCACCACTTTAACAGGCTCCTACACAAACACAAGGTTCTAAAATAACTCTTTTTCCATACATTTAAGAAAGAAAAAAAAAGAAAAAAAGAATGAAAGAAAGAAAGAAAGAAAGAAAGAAAGAAAGAAAGAAAGAAAGAAAGAAAGAAAAGAAGTAAGGAAGGAAGGAAGTAAAAGAAAAAAAGAGAATGATTTACTTTAAACTTTTCTTTTTTCTTTTGAACACAAAGGATGATATTCTGAAGAATGTCAGAAAAAGCAGCCATTCACATCCAGAGTAGTAACAATATAAATACTATGGAAGTCAATGGCTGTTTTTTTTTCTAATATTTTTTGTACATCTTTCTTTGTTAAGCAGAAGAAGGAGGAGGTAATGTAAATGATGACATAATGTCATATAAAGCCATTTGTAACATTTGTTTTATATCATTGTTTTATTTTATTCTTAACATCGCTTATACCTTGTAGGCTTTAGTCACCACTCTGCTCTTGCGCCGTGGGCCGTCCTCCTCCTGCTCGCTGTCGGGTTCATCGCCTTCATCAATGTCAAAATCACTGTCCACTTCATCCTCTGTTTCAGTCAGGTCACCTTTATATTCTTCATCACCTGATTCCTGCACAATTCAACATTTCAGAATCACAGAGGAAACACTAGATGGTTCATGTTATTTGCATTCCACATGAACTTTACACAAAGTAAATTTCAGATATACACTCATTTATTAGGTATGCTTCAAACAAATTAGCATTCACTAGTATAATAAGCATCAGATTACAATTTTTTTTTTCTTTTTAAAGCAGCTATACAAAATTTATATAGAGGTTAGGGCTCAGTCGTTGTTGGGATACTCTTTTAAATCTGGAAACATTAAAAACTTATATATAAATATATATTGTTATCGTTCAATATGGAAAACAATTATCGAGATTGCATTTTTGCCATATCGCCCAGCCTGAATAGAGGGTCATTATAGTGAACTAAATTTAAACCATCTCTTTACTTGAAATAAAATACACTAACTGAAATAACAGCATATGCTGGATAAGTTGGCGGTTCATTCCGCTGTGGCGACCCCTGATTAATAAAGGGACTAAGCTGAAAAGAAAATGTATGGATGAATGGATGAATGAATGATTGAATGAATGAATGAATGAATGAATGAATGAATGAATGAATGAAACAACAGGAAATATATTTAGAAATATCAGCCAGTTTCTAAGGAAATATTTATTTTTTTGTTCAGTTAACAGCTTAATGTATAGACAATTACAAAATACAGAGAATACAAAGAATGTACACAAAGAATAATAATATTATAATAAAACATAAAAACTGTCAATATATTGACAAAAACCCAACAAAATTAGCTACATCTTTAATCAATATTTACAAAAATGAAAAAGAGAAAAAATATCTAAAATATAAAGCTACAGCTGTATTTTAATTATTAAAATAACAGAAGAACAAAATGAAAATCTACAGAATGCAATAAGTTAAATAAGTCTGAGTGAATTACAATAAGTTGAAATAGTAGCACATAATTAAAAAAATAAATAAACTATTCAAAATTTACTAACATTTATATAATCTTTATAAATATCCTGCATAGTTTTTTTACGTAATCAAAAACCTATTAAAATTGATGATTTGTATTTAAATTTCTTTCTGAATTGGTCATGTATGCATTCATAAAAACCTGAGTGAAATACATTCATAGCTTTTATAAAATACTTTCAATTAAAATATGACCAAGCAAATATCCATAAGTCTGTATAAACAATGAAATAATTGTATCTATCAGATTAACCCGGCCTCATAGATTATGATTTGTGTTTCATAATTTATACTAGTATTAAACTAAGGTCAAATTATTTTTAATAGAAGGAATGACTTAGCATTTTATTGGCATAATGTCATAAATATTTGACAATATTATCAAGTGTTTATATTTATTCCCAGTAATAACACAGTAGCACATGCACCATCATCTTCCTGCACATGCTACAGTATCTAAACATGATTCTATGTAAAACTAAATCCCCACTATTCCTAAGGGCAGGATAATCTCCAGTCATAAATGTCTATTGTGGAATGAATAGAAGCACAATGACTCATGTGATATTGATCTTCTGACAGCATAAGACAATAAAATCAAGGTGACAGAACACGTTCTCACAGATACAAGTACACACGTCCAAATGTCGTGTAAATGTAACTTATAGTATGTGTGTAAATATGTCCACCCCAGACAGCACACATACGTTGGGCCGACGTCGTGCCGATTTTCAAAACTCCATCGGTGCGATGTCGCTCAGGGAGCGTTTGCTAATTGGCAAAATGTCGCCGCGACGTCGGCAAATGATCGGAAACGCTGTCCGGCCGATGTTAGGACGACGCAACCGGAAATACCGGCCGCTCCGCGGAGCCGCTGTTCTCAGGCGTTTTGCTCATACTTATGGACCACTAGCTGCAACAGCTGCTTATTTATAATAAACACGACACACCACTCTCAATAACAGTTGAAGATTTATTAATATTTTCACAAACATACATATAGATTAACTTACTTTTATCACACATAACCATGTTTTACCACGTTTAAAACAAAACCAACAAGTTGTACTATAACCATGGCTGAACTACTGTGCAATAAAGATTTTAAATACAAAGTCCATTGCAGCATTTACATTAAGACCATAGGAATATTTACAAGTACTTCAAAACATGTACACTGAGGGAGACTATAGTTTACTATAGTAAAAACACAAATAACTTGTGTAAGCACATGTTATAATGCTTATAATTTCTTAAATAGTGTTAAAGAAAATGCATGTTTCCAAGACTATAATTTTAAAATACAAGATAATACCAGTCATGTGTTCAGTGTCCAAAAGACTTTCTTCAGGGAGTTACAATAATAAGAGTACACAAACACCAACATAAATACCAAGCAAACAATATTTACAGTAGTAAATAAAATCATACAAATTAAAATAATTGTCTGATAAAATCTTATTAAAGTCTGTAGTCAATTTAAAAAAAAAAATTTGTATAAATGGCATTCAACAAATTGCAATCTCCTCTGAACTAATAACACATCAATAATATAAAATAACAATACTTTCTCAGAGATAACCAGTTTTTTTTTTAAGCAAACTCTAATGCACAGCACAAAACAGATTTTGTCATTATATATATATATATATATATATATATATATATATATATATATATATATATATATATATAATGTATTTATAAATATTTCCGTTAAACAGAAATTAAAGGGATTATATATATATATATATATATATATATATATAATCCCTTAATTTTTGTTTAACGGAAATATTTTTTAACAAATTTCTAATCACAATAGTTTTAATAACTCATTTCTAATAACCGAGTAAATAATATTTGACTAGATATTCTTCAAGACACTTCTATACAGCTTAAAGTGACATTTAGAGGCTTAACTAGGCAGGTTAGGGTAATTAGGCAAGTTATTGTATATCGATGGTTTGTTCTGTAGACAGTCGAAAAAAATTGCTTAAAGGGGCTAATAATATTGACCTTAAAATGTTTTTTTGGAAATTCAAAACTAAAATATAAATAAAAGAAATAAGACTTTCTCCAGAAGAAAACATAACATTTTCTTGCTCTGACCTATATATATATATATATATATATAATAAAACTGGTTGTAAATTGTGTACAATGTTCCAAGAAAACAGACAAAATTAAAAGAAATAACCAGTCATTTAGTTTTGTTTTATCTTGTGGAATGTTGCTTACACATAAAAGGGGATATATAGGTGGAATAAAAAGTGTGTCGCCATCCTCTAAATTGTTCTTGTATGTTGTCTTCATCTTTAGTCTTCACAAGTGAGGCTGGCCCAAACCGGGACTGCAGTAGCCAAATCTAATCCTTGTAGTGGGAACCCTTAAATAAAGCAAGAAACCAAAAGGAGAAAGATTAGCATTGCAGCAGTTCATATTACCACAATTATATATTATTTGTTTCATGACATATAACTGGAGTATGTGTTATGCAAGTGCCTAGCTAAAATGTGTAATTTAATTTAAACTTAAAGAGTGTGTCTGAGCACTAATTTTCAGAAAAGCCATTTGAAAGTTAAATTCCTTGTGAAATCATAATGAATGTTTTTTTTGGTTTTTAGTATCATTGTGTTAGTATAAATGTGTATCTAAATATATGTCAAATCTTCAGATACCACATTACATGCAAATTAAACTAAATTTTCTCAACTAAAATGTCACACTGTACACAACTTTTAATATATCATAGCTAGGGCCAGGAGGAATCTGCGGATGTTTTTTTGCTATTTCTGCTGAAAATTTTGGTGGAAGTCTGTGGATTTCTGCGGAATTATTTTGGGAGTATCATAACTAAAACCTTAATATATGAAATAAAAAATAATATATTTTAAAGTTTTCTTTAATGTTTAAAATGCAAATCCAATTAGATTCACTTTATTTGGTAAATAAAGCAAGTTTTTCATATAACATATCTAGTAAGACAGAAAATATTACTGTACAAACCTCATTGTACATAAATCAGACGAACATTTTCACATTAGTCAATAATATTACTGAAATTAATTAAAAAACTGAAAAAAATATAGATTTACACACATTTACTCAAGTAAATAAACAGAATTAATGATAGGCTAAACATCTGCGGAGTTCTGCAAAAAATCTGGGTCGGCCTAATCATAGCTTTATTTCTGCTACAAAAACAATTATATGTAGGCTATAGAGGAGGATATATAAAGAAATTATATATTCAACTTTCTAATTAAATGCACCTGATGCAGCTAATCAAGTCTTTTAGGCTTATTTGAAAACTTAAATGACGTGTTGGACCACAGTTGGACAACGCTCAGTGAGAATACTTTTTTGCACAAATTCTTTTTGTTCTAAAGAAACATGTCTGATTGTTAGCAATCATCAAAGAGCAAACTTTTTATTTTTTCAAATAAATACTATGCTCTTAAAAATAAACTTTCATACATCAAGAATACTAAAAATGTTTATTTAAATTGTTTTATATTTAAAAAAAACAGCTTGAGGAGAGAATCAGTACATTGGAATACTATTTTATCAGAAGGATCATGTGACACTATTAATTATATACATTGTATTAAATTCACAGTATTACTGCTTGACTGTATTAATTAAATAAAGCTGACACTATCAGAAGTGAATTTACCATACCAACCTAAAAGCTATGAAACAGTAGTGTATGTTTAAGATGTTACTTACCAGTCCTATTGTACTTTGGAGAGGTTGTCTGACAGGAGGATCCCTTCAACTCAGCAGAATTCTCAGCAGACCATCAGCGTACACCAATCTAAGAATAAAATAAGCAATTTGTTAAAAACCAAAAATATATATATTTTTTATTTCCAGGTTTATAGGAAAGCTAAAGCAGATTTAAAATGTAGAAAAAAATATAACCTATTGACAATTTAATGGCACAACATACCCCAAACTAAGCACACTCAAATGGTTAATTTACATAAATGACAACTGCTGCTCATTATACCAATATTAACTGTTAAGGATTCATTCATTCATTTTCTTTTGGGCTTAGTCCCTTTATTAATCTGGGGTCGCCACAGCAGAATGAAAGGCCAACTTATCCAGCATATGTTTTACAGAGCGGATGCCCTTCCAGCTGCAACCAATACACACTCATTCACACACACTTATACACTATGGTCAATTTTAGCATACCCAATTCACCTATGTCTTTGGACTTGGGAAAACCGGAGCACCCGGAGGAAACCCACGCCAACACGGGGAGAGCATGCAAACTTCACACAGAAACGCCAACTGCCCCAGCCGAAGCTCGAAGCAGCGACCTTCTTGCTGTAAGGCAAACGTGCTACCCTCTGCGCCACCGTGCTGCCCTGTTAAGGAATCAGATTAATATAAATGAATTGACATGTTTATTTAGTGTCTGACACATTAAATATTGCATTTTTAAATATTGTTTCATTATAAGATTTATTTCAGAATTAACTATAGAACCTGGATATATCGTCACATTTTCATGCACAGCAGCATTTTCAAGAACATAGAAAAACAGAATATAGGACAACTGAAAAAAAATAAAATAAAAAAACTCTGACTGAATGCTTTAAGTAACTGGCTAGGAATGGGCATGTATAAGATTCTGAGGGTATAATCTTAGATAAAAATATCACAGTTTCACAGTATTGTGATTACTGCTCTGAAATGTTTTTTTTTTTTTTATCTCTGTGTAAAAAACAGCTACTTTTTCCCCATTGAACACAATATGTTTTATTTTAAGAAACATTTAAAATATTTTGTTACAGTAAACATGCCAGGCTAAATAATAATTTAATAAAATAGTATTATCTTCATTAGACTCAAAAACACTGATTTCTTGTGAAGGCATAAGCTATTTGTTTTTCAGATGTTTGCTGAATCGTGAGCTGACCAGTAGCTTTTGATGTGGAGGGTCTTTTGCTGCTGTAGATAATGTTGGACTATTTTTTTAAGTCTTTGATAACGCGCTAAAAACCATATACAATGCATCCGGAAAGTATTGATAGCGCTTCACTTTTTCCACATTTTTAATGGTTCAGTCTTATTTCAAAATGGATTAAATTCATTAATTTCCTCAAAATTCTACACACAATCCCCATAATGTGTGTTGACCCGATTTTAGTTAATCATTTACAAGTCAATATTGCCTATATGGATTGTGATTAAAAAAAAAATCTACATGTAAAATTGCAGTGTTAAATGCAATGCCATCAAACATTTTAGACGCACCAGTGCAAAAAGCTAGTCTAGAGCACTTGGAATGCTGGTGTAGTTCTAGTTAAATTCAGTTCAGTTACAGCTGTATATGCAGCCGGTCTCAAGTATAGGATTTAGTATTTAACTAATCTTAACAACTAAACATTTACGAGTCTGTATTAGCCAGCTCATGTACTAAAATGTAACAGATACTGTATATTGCCACCTTGATACTTAAGCTTTCTTTTAAATATTTTGTGTTCAACCGATTAATTAATTCTTTCTTTTAATTTTGTTCAGTGCAATAGTATAGCTTACACTGGTGTATTTGTATGGACCCCCCAAAATAGCGGAGGCCACTTTCTGGCCACCCAAGTATAAACTTCGAGCCTAGACACTGTGAACTACCTGTCTGTCCTGCTCCAGAACTCTTTGTCGGCTGCTTGTATGTCTGGATACACCTGCACAAGTCTTTTAACACTGACAAATACAGCCTCTGCACATCCTCACAACCAGGAGAACAGAATGATCAGGAGGACCTGAAAAATATAACCAACTGAAATCAGTTGAAATGTATTTTGTCTTGTAATGATGGCACAAAAATAAATTATTTTTCACAAAGGATGTGCTGTTACCTATGAAACATTCTATAATGAATGATCTTTTTGATCCTGTTTCCTTGATGTCATTCACTCAGAGATGGTTTGGACATTTGATTGTATCTAAACTGTAATGAATTTAAGTTACAAAAACATTGATAGCAAGACCATTGATCTTGTAACTTATACAAATTGTTAAGTATTGAACAAGTCTGCAACCAAACTAGTCAAGTTAATAATACTAATCTCAACTCAACTATGATTAGTTGTCTTGTTTCTGCTGCCCAGACGGTCTCTCCACCTGCTGATAAAAAAGGAAAAAGTATGGTATTTTTACAACAATGAAACTGCAAACAACTTAACTATAAGGGGGTAAGCAGTGAGCATCTTTTATTATAAGCAATTTACTGAATACTTTGTCACTGGTATTACCTAAAAACCAAACGTCCCAAGTTTGGCTCATAGCTGTCCACATATCTGCCCAGTAGCTTGTGGTAATACTGAAGACACTGATCAGCTGGTCCAACTGAGTTTGGAGTTGAACTGCAATCAGGCATCCAATACTGCAAAGAAAGAGAAACTCACTTTGGGTTAACAAATAATGTAATCCCACACATTTCAAGTAATTGTGCAGTTAATTCTCTTAAAATGAATGAATGAATTCTCTTATTGAATTTTCTGAGAGCTTATGAATATATTTTGTCTTCCCAAAATAGCATGTACTGAAACACAAAATTATATAAATATAATTTAATAAGAGCGTGACGTGGTGGCACAATAGGTAGTGCTGTCGCCTTACAGCAAGGATGCTGACTCGAGCCGCAGCTGGATCAGCAGGCATTTCTGTGTGTAGTTTGCAAATTCTCTCTGCGTTTGGTGGGTTTTCTCTGGGTGCTCCGGTTTTGCCTACAAGTCCAAAGACATGGGGTACAGGTGAATTGGGTAGGCTAAATTGTCTGTAGTGTATGAGTGAGAACAAGCGTATATGGTTGTTTCCCAGTGATGGCTTGCAGCTGGAAGGGCATCCACTGCGTAAAACATATGCTGGATAAGTTGACAGTTCATTCCGCTGTGGTTACCCCAGATTAATAAAGGGACTAAGCAGAAAAGAAAATGAATGAATGAATGAATGAATGAATGAATGAATGAATGAATGAATGAATGAATGAATGAATTTAATAAGAGTTAAACTGATCTGTTAACATGTCTGTCAGGAGCTGATCTACCTGTTGTCAAACTGATGAAAATGTTTTCTCAATTTACTTTAACATTTTTGTGTTTGTTTATGTTTTTATAACTTGCAGCCATTGTTAAATTTAAAAGTATTTTAAACATGCATGGACATCTAAATGCATATAGGGCACATATCTCAAAACATTATGAAATATTTCCAGATAAATCAATTTTGAATTAAAATGTATATTAATCTCCAGACTTGCATCTCCCTGATCTTTTTAAAAGAACGGCCATTTGTTTGCTCATCACTGTTTGACAAGTGTCTGGCAGTCAGTCAAAAATATACTTACATATAAAGATGTTCATCAGCAACACGGCACTTAGGTTAAACTTAGACCTCCTTTTCAGTTGATGTGGAAAACAAAAGCAAAAGAAAGAAAAAACAAAACGACTGAATACAAGTTGCATATCATGCCTGTACAAATCAAAAATTATTCATTTAGGGCTTAAATTGACTTAAGGATGAGTTAAGGAGTAAGGGATGGGTGAACAGTGTAAATATACATGTAATTCATAGCTATGATGTAAAGCTGAATTTTCAGCATCATTACTCAAGTCTTCAGTGTCAGTTGATCTTTCAGAAATCTTTTTTTAAGATGTTGATTTAGTGCTTGAGGTTGAACTAATATAATGGTGATTATCAAATGGTGCTGATTTGCTGCTCAAGAAACATTTCTGATTGATATCAATGCTAAAAACAGATGTGATGACAAATAATGTAGTGTAAACTTTTTTCTAAGATTTAATAAATCAATTAATCATAAAAAATTAAACAAAATGAAAATCACAAATATTACTTCATTAGCAGCAAATCTATATATTTACTAAGTTCTGAAGAATCATGTGATGTGAAATTTAATACCACTCACATGTTTCAATGTCAAAACTTTCTTAAAACAACTGCAATAAAGACAAGTAACAGATGCATAATATATAGACATGTAACATGTGCATAATGATGTGCAATGGAAATTCATATGAATTAATCCTATGCTTAAAGTTACCTGTCTTTCCTGTATCTTTGTGATCAGCTCCCTTCAGAAATTTAGGAATCTTGAGTTATATTTTCTGTAGCAGGAGGTTATTCTCTCACTCCTGAAACCACAGAACACTTTTTTTACTTAACATTTAGTTTAAGATACCATGAAATATCAAAACACGATTGAACTTTTGATTCACGGTCCTTTACAGTAAAATGCATATTTTAGACTACATATGGAGTGCATTCAATAAAACATTGACAAAACCTCTCATCTACACATAAAGAATAAATAAAAGCCAAAACTTTAACAAACAAGTTTAACAAGAGCTAACATTAAGTAAGTTAACGTAATATTACACCGACGCTAACGTTACCAGTGCTAATATGCTAACGGACTTTTACGAAGACTTACCACTCTTATATAACATAATATTCAACTGAATATTCATCAATTGCCAATAATAAATGTGTGAGGAACAGTTTTATGTAGTATTTGCTTGGTTTTAGGGACTAAACTTACCTGAAAACAGTCAAAACGGCAGCTTGAGAGAAGTCGTGTTGTGTCTTTCAGGTCATGTCGTGTCGTGTTGTAGCTTCGTTTCCCATAGCAACATCCTCTCCGCTCCAGTGTTGGAATGAGACGCGCGCGCGCACATCAAAGTCATGCAGTATTACATTTATAAACATGATCACTCCATAGACAATTTAAATAATAATCTTGTATTTTATATCTTGAATTTAAAATGTATTTAGCAGTTTTATATACGCTATTATCTTTAAGACGAGCTTTATAGCCTACTAATCTGTTACAAAACAAACACTTGATTTGTGCATCAGATTCACTGTCAAAAATAAATAACCAATAAATATAAATGCAAGTATATATAAAACAAAGATGTCACTCTGTAAAAAGGTGTTTATTTAAATTAAACAGCCGAAATGCAGAACAGGCTACTTAATTTTTACACTGGGAAAATGTATTAGAAAAAGCCACAATAAAAAAAAGCAAACAGCAGTTAACACCAGAAAAAAACAACGTTTTCATTATTTAAGCATAACAACAAAACTTTTTATATTTTAATGAATTGAAATCATGTATTGTAGGCATTTTGGTCAGTTTTACTGTATTAATGTAGGCTATTTAAAGCTGGACCCACCGACGCAGATGCATGTCGCGTGTGTCTAATTAATTATGCACGCAAAAACTTACTTGTAAACCAAATATGTTGCCAGATTCTTTCATGGGCATGAGAGATAAAGTGCTTATGAAGTGCTTCGTCGGCCTCTGGTCGTTAACCGACGCAGAGCCGACGTTTGTTGAGCTGGAACAATAGAACACACGACCGAACGATCATGCGTATGTTTGGCCGACCATATACCGATGTTAGAATTAAAGGGGCCGACGTGTTGACCTTCGGCCGACGTCGGCCCAACGTATGTGTGCTGTCTGGGACATAAGCCCATGGTACAGGTGATATATTATCACTCACGTCGTGAAATCCTCCATAGGTCGTCTTGTAAAACTCATCCTCCTCTTCTGCATCCAGCAGTCTGGACATACGGTTTCCCGCAGTCTTTCGAGGAGCTCTGCTGAAGGCTAAACTCATCCTGGCTTAACGTTACACCCAGATCCAGTTCAGAATCAGTCAAATATTAAAATATGACATCTTTGATACCCATTTATTATTTAATGAATGATATTAGAAGTTAAAACAGAGCATTGTCAACTCGAATCTGAAAATTACAACATCATCGGGAGCGCATATGAGATTTTCAATAATATTATCAGATCATACCAGCATGACACCAGAATAAACGTCACACTCACTAGTCTAATGTGGTATTAAGAGAGTAATCGATGCACAGATTTTCTTTCAGACCAAACTAATGGAGAACTGATATGAAGCTGCAGGCCGCCAGATGGAGACAAAGCGGCGACAAAGAGAGTGTTTACACCTATTTTTCTAGTCTAAAGTGACCTTGTGTTGTGAAATGGTTATGTTAGTTCAACTTGAAATCTGGAATGACACCAGCAGCTGTCACAAAGTGCAGGTAAAGTATCATCAGACACTTCTTAGGCGTCGTTGTATGAAACAAGTTGTGTTCACACGTTTTCACCGCTGATTTGTTTATGGGAATTTCCCTGTGGGTTTTGGATTAATCTACTGCATGAAGAGTTTAAAATTAACTTATAAGCAGCATAATTTACCAAGTTAACGGCATAAACTGACACAAATATTGACTTAAAATTATAAAATTTGTGGACGACGGCTCTTGATGACACTTATTAACACTGTGATTAACACAGTGATTAACACTGTGGCCTCATAGCAAGCAAGAACGTCGCTGGTTCGAGTCCCAACTGGGTCAGTCAGCATTTCCGTGTGGAGTTTGCATGTTCTCCCCATGTTCGCGTGGGTTTCCTTCGAAAGTCCAAAGACATGCGGTAGAGGTGAATTGAATTAATTAAATTGGCTGTGTGAATGAAAGTGTATGGATGTTTCCCAGTACTGGGTTGCAGCTGGAAGGGCATCCGCTTTGTAACACAAATGCTGGATAAGTTGGTGGTTCATTCTTCTTTGGTGACCACTAATGAATAAAGGAACTAAGTTGAAGGAAAATGGATGATCAAATTTTTGTAGAACGCCTCGGGAAACTGTAGTGCATTTCTTAAAGGGCACCTATGGTGAAAAATCTACTTTTCAAGCTATTTGGACAGACGTGTGTGTATGTATACTGTATAGACTGTCATATTGGGGTGATATAAACACACACAGTCCTTTTTTTTTTCAATTTAACAACATAAAAACGGTGGACCAATTGGAGCAGTTTTTAGACCGACCGCAACTTTACGTAGGAGAGTGGTCCTCCCACCCACCAATATTGATTGAAAGCCTCGCGTCACGATCATATCCTCAGTTTCTTGTTTCACATCCGCTATTTTCAGCGTGTGAGTCAAAGCGATATCACTAAAGGAACACCTTTGCTCTATTTTTAGATGAAAGACTCATTGGGCTCAACAAAAGATCAACATTCTCCACATTATCGCTGTAAACGGAATTATTTCTTGTACCTTGTGCGTGGCCCGGTGTAGTGCATTTCGGAGTTCTGGGCGTGGGTTTCTGTCAGGGTGCACGCGGCGGAGCTTCGGGTCGGCGGCCACGGCGCCATTGTGTTTGCCCTGGTGGAGGCCTGTGTTTGGAGTTCTGGAATGCGTGGCGCGACGATTCGGGACACTTCATGTTTCTGCCACCTCACTGAGAGTATCTGGTGTGCATTCGGTGCCTCAGTCAAAGTTAATTCAGTGTATGTGGTTATTAGTACAAGCTCTGCACTTGTACACCGAGACTATACAAACTATACAAAGACACAAATGATTTTGTACTCTCTGCTTGGTCTGTGTCCAAGTCGTAAATGTACGGCTGAATGCTGATCCTAGCTTAGCTTAGCTTCTCTCTCTCTGTCTGTCAGCCTGTCTGTTGCAAACACAGAGCGTGGGAGCTTTTTGCTCCGCCCCCTTGTTACGTTGGGCGGCAAGCCGAAACTAATTTTCATGTGAAACAACACGCCCCTAAAACAGCAAACTGTGTAAATCCCCACAACATGACACTTTTTAACACATTATAATAAAAAAATCTGAACTGTGTGTTGAACTGAACCTAAACTGGCACACTCAGAAGAACCATAATACTAATATTAAATCATAAAAATGGGGTAAACTATGTGCCCTTTAAGTAGTACTTAAGTATTTAATGAATCTGGTCTGCAAACAGAATGACTAATTTGATATACTAAAATATTAAAAATAATAAAATAAAATAAAATAAAATAAATTAATTAAAAAATCCACACACACACACTTTAATGGCTCTTTAAATAATGTGTCAAGAAATAAGTTTTAACCATTTTTCAAGCGAGAATATAGTTGTTTAAAACTCAAATCTGTGGTTTATTTATGGTGTGTATTTTAATATGTTTATAAAAAAAAAAATATATATATATATATATGAATTAAGAGAATATTGACCTCCTGGTGACGGGTGCCTGAATCCGTCTAAAGCGGGCTTTCCTCAGCTAGTCAATCTGACATTTACACTAACTTTAGGTGTTTAACAGTCGTTGGTTTCATGACTGAACTTACTTTTGTTCCAGTTTATTATGCTTTGGCTTAGCACAAAGTGATGTTAATTAAATATTATTTCACATTTCCATGTTAACCTTATAAAATAAATAAAGGTGCAGTGCAATCAAAAAGATGTTGTAACCAGTTTTTGGGGCTGCAATAACATTCTGTCATTTATAAAAATAAAAAAGTTCCAATACTAGCATAATAGTTCATTTGTATTAATTTCTATGATGAATAAAATAAAAAAGTTTGAATTCCTATAATTATCGTTCAAAAGATATAGACCTTTTGACAGTAATTAGCTGTAATCATGCTACCTGCATTATTTTCACAATAAAATTATGAATACAACATATTACTGTGAAGTTTTACAGTTAAATCCTGTAAAGCGATAACAATCTAATTTATTATAAAAATTACGGTAACTTGTTATAAAAATCTGGAATTTTTTTACAGTTTGTTTATTCAATGACTGAAATATATGTTTAGCCATTATCATTAAATTGCTGACTTTTTACACTGGTAATAATGCCATCTGTTTGTTCATTTGACTTATCCCTTAGTCTAAAAAAAGACTGAATGAAAGTAAGATAAAGTTCTGCAGAGGAATTGTGAAGATGCACTGTATGAAATGCAAGCAGTCAAAGCAACATTCCACGGTCTTTTTCCTTGTTCATTGTTTTGTCTTTTTTTGACAGGTCGTGATCGATGGCATTTGAAGGTCATGTGGCTTCCTTTATCCCCTTGCTGAAGGCATTGGAAGTTACATTTAAAAATATGCAAGATATGTGAAACGAAATCTCTTAATTGGCATCAAAAGTTCCACAAAAAAAAAAAAAAACTTTAGGAACTGTTCATTGTGGCGGCAGTAATGATACTTCTAAGGCATCGGTAAGTTTCATTTGGGAAGTTATTTACACACTGAATAAAATGCTGTTTCATACAATTGATTTGTGTTGGGACAACATGAAGGAATTAAGTTAACTTATTACAAATTTAAGTGGATTTAACAAAAAAAAACAATTATGTTGTCCCAACAAAATCTCAATAATTGTGTTGTTTAAATAGCAACAAAAATATTTTTTGAATGTAAGTTTGTATGAGAAATTAATTGTAGTCCATTATTTGCCTTCAATTAAAGACATGATACTGTCTAGATGGCGATATTATTAAACAGACCTTTTTCTGAGTATTTTACGTTTGACTGGAAAATGCAAAACCAAATCGAAATGGCGATTTAAACTTTTTGCAAAAGTCCATGGGGAAAAACCTAGAGAGAGAGGAAATCAAAATTTAATGCAGGGAAGTTGAATTAAATACAAAACAAAAGCACTCAGTAAAAGTGTAATTCTTCAAATGAGATAAGCTACTAATTACAGGACTGGAAAGTTGCCAGAGACTGAAATAAACTGCTTGTGGGATGTGGGAAGAATTGCCTAAGGGGTCAAGATCATGTGAATTCCATAGTTTTGTATTTGTTTTCCCTTTCCTGGTGTAGGAAAAGGGTAAAGTACACATGAGAGAGGCCCACATTTCCACCCACACACACACACACACACACCCACATGTGAAAATCTGTATATCAAAAAATTTCCCTTGAATGCCAATGTGTAGGGATTTTCAAAGATCATATAAAGTTGTTGAGTTTTTCTGTTTTGTTTTTTGTTTCATCCGAATTGCACACAGACAACACTAGTCTATTCATTTCTGAGAAAGCAATGATTGCAGCTCTGACAGAACCCAATTGTCCTTTTAACAAAGCTGTAGTGTGTGTTTAGAGCAAACATTCAATGTCATTCCTTCTCAGCCCATTTACATTCATTTGACAACCAAAGGTAAAGCATAAGCACACCCACAAAGCCTGTTCTAACTACCAAGTTTACATACTCTAAAAGCTTCAACGTTTGATCACCTGGCAAGTTCCAAACCATACGCTTGTAGATTTGTTTTGAAGATGGTTAACATTTTCTGAATTATTAACCGTGGCTTGTATTAAACTTCCTCCCACACTGAAGGTTATTCACGGTAAAGGTGTGCTGGCATTGTTTCAGGAATGAAAGAATAAGGAAGTAGTAACTCCGGGACACTCCTCCAAAATATGCAAATAAAATGCAGATGTTGTGTCTTTTGTCTTGGTGTCTTTTCACTAGATCATGAATTTTTTTGGTTGCACTTTATTTTGATGGTCATTTTAGACATTGTATTGACTATAATTTGCTTTGTAACTACATGTCAACTAACTCTCATTAGTCTATTAGTGTTAGATTAGGGCTATTGTAAATCTCTCATGTAGGTATCAATATTCAAAGATGGTTCACTCTCATTATTATTAAAGGAAGTCCTGCCTTCCTGTCAAAATAGCCAGGCATCAACCATTATTGATGATTCTTTGTTGTTCTTTACGAATATTATAATTGTTGCAATCTAATCAAGAAAGGTTGTGGCCAATCCGAACAAAACACAGACTTCTGAAGTTCTTATTCATTCATTCGTTCATTTACTTTCAGCTTAGTCTCTTAATTTATCAGAGGTTGCCACAGCAGAATGAACCGCCAATTTATCCAGCATATGTTTTACACAGCAGATGCCATTCCAGCTGCAACCCAGTACTGGGAAACACCCATACACACTCATTCACACATACACTATGGACAATTTCGCTTGCCCGATTCACCTATAGCGCATATCTTTGGATTTGTGGGGGAAACCAGAGCACCTGGAGGAAACCCACAGAAACATGGGAAGAACATGCAAACTCCACACAGAAATGCCAACTGACTCAACTGGGACTCGAACCAATGACCTTCTCGCTGTGAGGTGAAAGTGCTGAGCCAGCGTGTCACCTTGACGTTACTCATGGGAACATTAATTAAAATATTCTGTTATTTTCTAAGTTTAACACAGCTTATTTTATTTTCTATGTATGTTGGACTCCTAGTTTGAAAGAAAAATCTGGAGTAAGTCAGTGCAACATCATCTTATCTGTTTATAGCTGGTCAGAATGCAAAACACGAGAACGATGGGTTATTTTTTTTTATTTGTTAGTGTAATGTGCATATTGTGACAATTTCCACGTTTGTTTGTATTAAGGAAAGAAAACACATGTACACTTTTAAATAAGTTTTTAATACATGTTTATGCATTGTGTCATATCACTGAGCTCCGATGTATTTATACTTAAGCCTATATTTCATCCACACAACATAAACCAGAACCGGTTGTGGACAGATTGACTTGGTCCTAACGTGA